TATATCTATGCAAACCAATTATGAATAAATCATTAACTAACAAGTCTCGTAAATGGTTACCTAAGGTGATATCTGTATGTCTACGACACCACATGCAATTGACACACTCATCCGGTGAAAACTACTCGAAGGTTCTTATACTTACCGTCTAATTATCAAAATAGCTATGTCGAGTCAATCCCAATAATCACAGATAAAACACATAAATTGATCAAGTTCATGCACTAACAATCATAACAAGTAGAAGAAATAATCATAAAATCATAATCGCATAATCTCAAGAAAACGGGTTCACCATCCCCATGTAGTTCCAACAAAATCCTAGATTAAAAACTTAGCTACTCATAACGAAAAGCATAATAAAAATACGAAAAATCATAAAAGTTGTAAATAACAGTACAGGGAGGTGAAAGAAGAATTATGATGAAGATTTGTCAATTCTCCGTCTTCGTTTCTTCGTTCTCTCGCTCCTCTTCCTCTAAGATTGTGTTCAAAAGAAGTCCTCTAATTCGTGTTTGGTTTGCCCTTAAATAGATGCCCCAACTTGGTAGAAGAATTTAGGTTTCCTTGTGTGATTAAAAGTCCAAAATTGTCTCCAACGTGTTTTGGCGCGGTCGCGCGAAAATCAGTGTAATTCTCACACGGCCGCACGAGAATCGCCGAAACCTTCTGCCCAAGTTTTGCAGTTGGCGCGGCTGCGCCAAAAATAGGCTAAATTTGGCACGGCCGCGCGGGCCAATTTTCAGCATATTTTTGTTTTCTTCCGTTTTTGCCCGTTTTTGATCTTTTTTGGCTCGTTTCGTCCTTGAAACTCTCAAATCGTCAAGTTGTACCTAAAAATATACAATAAGCCACTCATTAAGCATCATTAAATCAATAAAAGTATACAAAAATCCTCATAGGAAAGTATACATTGAGTGTAAAATATACACTCAACATGAGTCAATTTACCCTTTTGTTTTTAGCTTTACACAGCTGTAACCGACACATCCAACGTTAACAATGCAAACGTAGTTCTTGGTTATTGAAAATCTCATTATTTTTTAGGGGAAAAAAATAGTTTTTTTCAAAAATTAAGAACTAATTTTCAGCACGATCTGAAAATTTCATAAAGGAAAAAAAAAAGAAATGTTATGAAATTGTTATCAGATCAGGTTGGAACGTGAAATTTGATTCTTATTTCACTCGTATTAAATGCATAGTAATATAATAAATAAATATATATATACACACACATACTGACATACAATATTAATAACAATATAAGTTTATTTTGTTCAGAAAACAATTAGATAAAATCAAAACATAGTTTATAGTTGCAATAGCACCTGGATAAGTACAAACCTCTTTTGGATAGAGATAGTTTAATGTGTAGAGTATAGACAATTAATTAGTTGATGAACTGGATATGAATTATTAATGAAAGATTATGACAACAATTCTTGACTTCTTTAATTTATATTAATTACCTCGGCTTACATTATTTAATTTAGAGTATCTTTTTGTATTAGATTGCATTGGTTGTGAAATTAAGATTAATTAAATAATATTTTTCTTTAATTTATATTAATTACCTCGGCTTACATTATTTAATTTAGAGGATCTTTTTGTATTAGATTGGATTAGTTGTGAAATTAAGATTAATTAAATAATATTTAACTTTGTTTAACCATACTACAGATCGAATAACCGAAATATTATATTTATATAAGTATGAATGTATGATAGTATGCATGCTTTCATAAATAGATAGAATATGGAGTATATATATACAGTAGAACCTTGATAAATTGTCACCCATAATTAATTAGTTGTAAAACAATTAATGTCAATGATACTCTTAAAATAACGGCTTGGATCGTTGCGCACATATTAAGAAAATCAATAAATGAAAATCACTAAAATATCCTTGACATTAAATGTTTTATAACTAATTAATTATGAGTGAAATAGTAAAATTAAAAATAATACAATTAATGCTTCATTAAAAATCTAAAATGACAAATAATTTGGGGCAATAGATAACTCTCTAAAAAGATAAATAACATGGGACAGAGGGGATATTGACTCGAGTCAAATGTATGCTATACCCAATGACATTTACTCCAAATTAAAAAAAAAAAAAAAGATATGTCGTATATACCAAAACATACACTAGCAGAAAATTTATTTTTTTACTACGAATCTTTTTGCTACATTAAAAATTCGTTAGAAAATGTATAGTTTACTGCTATGAATCTGGCAGTTTAAGTAACAAAGCTTTTGTCACACCAGTATTGGCTATACGAAAATAATTCGTAGTATAATCTTAGCAAACAAATTTGTATCACGAATTTGGTATCTCACGCTATGTATTTGTGTTGCAGTAAAAATACATTTTTCTACTTGTGACACTAATATGCAATTGCGGTCCCTAATTGGGAAGGGGGGTTGTCACCCCCAAGATTAAGAAAATAAAAAAAAAAGTTTAAATAATTTGTAGTTATCAAAAGAAAGAAATGGTCCTAATTGTGATTAGTGAATGATCCATGTAAACAGCAGGTGGGCTGGGCTTTAACTTCATCTGGAATTAAATGGACCCTAATTAACATAATTAAGCACTCGAACTTAATGACTTACTAGAATTTTGGCCCGTGCGATGCACGGGATTGAAGTAAAATTAATACAAAGTAAAGTACAATTTAAACGACAAAATTGAAGTTTCAATTCATTTTGATATTTTTCTATATATATTCATGATAATCCCCCATTCATAATTTTTTTTTGCCATATTTATTAATTTAACTTTATATTTTTTATGTAGTATGATTGTATATTTATCTTATCTCAGTTAATGTTGAAGTTTGACGAATATTCTTATTTATCACCCATAATAGGCCTCAGTAAATTTACTGTAAATCAATGATGCTATTAAATCTTAAGAGTTTATCAGGAGCAACTTTACTTTTATTAATAAGATAAGAACCAAATATTTTTCTAAACAATTAAATAATTTTTCCATCAAATTAATATTAAGTAAAAATGACAATTTTGGTTGGAAAAGATACGTAAATTTGGGACGAAAAAGTCTGGATACTTAACGGATTTATTAAACTTGATTATATTAAATATAGTATAACAATAAAATTAATTAATTAAATAAATGACAATTATAATTTATAACTATCAAATGAACGGTAAGAACCAAATATTTTTCTAAAAAAATAAATAATTTTCCCATCAAATTAATATTAAGTAAAACGACAATTTTAGTGGGAAAATATTATTTTTATTAATAAAATAAGAACCAAATATCAAATGAACGGTAAGAACCAAATATTTTTCTAAAAAAATAAATAATTTTCCCATCAAATTAATATTAAGTAAAACGACAATTTTAGTGGGAAAATATTATTTTTATTAATAAAATAAGAACCAAATGTTTATCTAAATAATTAAATAATTTTTTTATCAAATTAATTTTAAGTAAAATGACAATTTTAGTTAGAAAATATACGTAGATTAGGGGCCATAAAGTCTAGACAGACTTATTATACTTGATTATAATACATATAATAAAACAATAAAATTAATTAATTAAATAAATGACAATTATAATTTATAACTATCAAATGAGCAGGAAAAATTTCATAGTGGATTTATTAACCTTGATTATATTAAATAAAATTAAATAATAAAAATAAATAATTAAATAAATAAATGAAAATTATAACTATGAAAAAATATCATAGGGTTTAACAGGATAGAACTAATTAAATGAAAATTGTAATAATAAAATAATAAAAGTAAAAAATAATTAAATGACAAAAAATAAAAGTAAAAAATAATTAAATGACAAATATAGCCATAAAATGAGCGGGAAAAAAAAACCCTAGGGTTTCACCCGAACAACCTTACTTTTATTAATAAGATTAGGGTTTTAAGTATTTTGGATAAGACTCAAATACAAGTTGAGTTTTAGGTCTTTAGGATAACCCACTAAAACTCTCTTATGAGTGCAGTATGAAAAAAAAAATTTGTGCTCTTCATGAAAAATAAAAGAAAATCAAAAAACGTAAAATATCGCGAAAATCGTGTCGAGGAGCTGCGAGGTACGACAACTAAATTGGAAAAAAAACATGTAACAACTAGTCATAGTTGTGCACGGCTTAGTGTTTGTAAAAACTTTTTGAAATGGCTTATTAGCGTTTCTATGCACTTTATCTATTGTAGGTGTTTGCAAACAAGTTTTCGCTTTTGCTTTTCGTAAAATAATTTGTTTTAAGAAGCTATAATTTTGACAGCATCAATGTACTTTTTTTTTTTTTCCTATTTTAGTTGATTTTCCAGCTAATTTACAGACACACATAATTTTTACAAAATATGCACTTATTCCACACTTAACTCAGTATCACTCAATTCTACTTTTAAATAAACTTTTACAGACACCACTTAAACGCAAATAATGAAATAACAGAAATAACTAGCTCCGCATTTAACGAGGCTCGAGTATGGAATAACAGATGAAATAACAGATTTTCAACTTTAAAATTCAAATTTTACCTCACCATATATTTTGCTCCAAATCTATCAAACTTATTATTTTATTTTTAATGATTATAATATTGTCGTAGTAGTATTTTAATGTATTAAATGAAATGAGGGATCAATATTGGGTGGATTTTTTGGTTTTAATTTTTTCTTTTCTCATTAAAGTCTTGATTCTTGAATCAAAAGATGGGAGGAAAAGAATAGTTTATTTGATTATACACTCAATAAAATACATCGAACGATGATTGACCATTGATCTGCATATAATCACATACATACATCCATAGTATCTGTACTTATTGATAAGTTGTTTCATGACATTAACAATTAATAATCACCGCTTTTGAAAACAGATGTAGCATTTCAATAACCGAGCAAAAACACCGAAGGTGACTAACTTATGTTACTAATCAGATACAAATTAAAGAAATGAAAATTTGAGGGCAAATTTAAAAAAAATACGAAATTGATAATTGATCTAATTTCCAATCTATTTCATAAATTCGAAATCAAAAGAAGAATATTATTATAACCTAATTACAAACTAATTAGGGCATAATTAAAATCCAATCAGTGCCCTAATTTCAAGGGCCAAAAAACGAAAAAAAATAGTACAGACAATTCACCGATGAATCAATCGATATTCTTCCCGCAATCGTTAAATTCTTTCAGCAATTTCTCATCCCGGAATCCGGCGAAGAATCCGGCGACCGCCTCAAGAAACACCGCCGCCTGATAAACACTCGTCGCCGTCAGGACATCGGCCAGCACGCTCCTCCTCAGCCTGTTGGCGTCCACCACCACCCCCACCAGCTCATCCATCTCCGCCGCCATCGCCTCCTCAACCGCCGCCTTCACGCCGGCGTTGATCCCCCACTCCGCCCCCACCCTCTTCACGAACCTCGCCTGCGCGTGGCGCAGACGCGCCGCCAGCGCCGGCACCATGAGCCGCAGCCCGCACTCGATCTGGTCCACCTTGGACGTCAGATCCTTGGACGGGCTCCTCCACGCAACCGCCACGTGCCACGGCTTCCCAAGCGCCGCCTTCACGGCGGCGGCGCTGCTGTTGTAGTCGTCGTTGTCTTCCTCTTCGGATGAATCTTGATCGTCAAGAAATGATCGGAGGAGGTTGGTGAAGAGGTAAGGGTGGAAGTCGCCCAGCCAGAGGAAGGGCCTCTCGAGGGAGTTGCGCCACTCGGGGTAGAGGCAGTGGGCGGCGTCGGCGGCGGCGGCCTGGTCGAGGGCGGCGTAGTACGACTGGAAGTGGTGGTGCATGCCTTCGACCTGGATGGAGAGGAGGGAGGGGGAGACGGAAGTTGATGAGAGGGAGCGGCGGAGCTGGGGGAGGAGGGTGGTGGTCAGGGTGGATATCCAGTTGTTGTAGAACTCGCTGAACGCCGTCGTGGCGGCGGCGGCGCTGGTTTTCTTCCGGCCGAAAATAGCCGATTTCAACATCTTTGAGGAAGATTAGATTTCTTGAAATTGGTGTAGAAAAATGAGAAGAGGAAGAGTTTTCTTTGGCGTTCAAATTTAAAACGGCTGCTTTTAATTATTATTATTATTATTTATTTATTTTAAAGTATATTCCTTTTGTATTCTACATGGAATTTGCTATATTAGTCACTCTACAATATTATATATACTTTTTCTTTTTTTAATAAATTTTACATTTTTTTATAATTTAATTACTCGTTAAACTAAAACATTAACTAAGGGTTTCATGGTTTTGTAGAACCTACGTCCGGTGAAATACACCATGTAGTTTTAAATCGTAGATTTATAGATAATAATATAAATTTACGTGTATGTGTGTTTAGCGAATAGTTAATTATGTAAATATACGGTTGAAAATCACATAGTAAATTTCACCAAACGTAGGATCTCACAAGTCGGCTTTCTAAATAAAGTAAAATCTATCAAAAATATTTATTGAGTTCATAAATTATTTAATTTAGGGTAAATTACACCTACACTTCTGCAGTAAGTTAAAGTGATTTTAAGGTCCATTTGCTATTAATAATTACAATGACTCCATGAAACATTGTTAGAAATCCTAACGGAATAATGTATTGGATAAGTTATTTCGTTAGCGTTCTAACGGACTATTAGTTTCAAGAAGTGGTACAGTGTAGACAACATAAAGCTGTGTGGCGACATGTCTCCCCCAATATTTCTTAAATTCTTATTGTTTTATACAAGATTTACAAATTTTCGTCTAGGGTAGCATTAATGGCTCCGCGGAAAATAAATATAGTGTATATCAGGCCAAAAGACATGAAATCTTGACTCCAATAATTATTTTAGAATGTGGCTGTAATTACCAATACCACATGAACCTTAAATTTATTTTAAGATACCTCAGAAATATTGGTGTAATTTACCTTTTAATTTATAATCCATTATTAAGAGCATCTCCGACCGATCTCACCATTTTTTCACCAAATCCCATTTATGGTGGTGAAAAAATGGGTTCATCTCCCACCGGTAGCACACCATTTTATTCTTCCACCATTTTTGGTAGAGAAATGGTGTTTTTGGTCTCCAATGGGTTTCACCAAAATTTAGACCAAATATTAAAATAATAATATTTCACCATTTCACCACTTATAGGAAATGGGATTTGGTTTGGTCTCCCATGGCATTTCATCATATATGTCCCAAAAATGTAAATCTAATATTAATCGTAATTTTATAATATTTTATTTCCTAAATATTAATTATAGATCCAATGCTAAATAATAAATTTTCTTAACTATATAATTTAATATTTATGTTATCATTCTATTAAATATCTATAAATGTCTCGTCCTGTATTTCATCAATTAAAGTGTGTTTCGTTAATCATTCTATTGTTGCTTATTATATTTTATTAATAGCAATTAGCGTATTAGTTAAGGAAAGAAATGAACTAATAAACATTGATACCAACAAAATATACAAATTAATTAAAAATAAGCATATTTATACTATTAGAATTAATATTTTGTTAATAATAACAAATGTATTTATATTTTAAAAACTAATTTAATAATTAATACCAATGCATTTACGATAAATATGTTAATAAGTTGGTAATCGGGTGCAATTAGTTAAAATCGTCATTTTATATGGTACTTAATAAAATTGTGTTAATTACGGCAAATCCTATTTTCACCTCTATATTTGATAGGAAAAATAGGATTTGGTGGAAAAAATAGGAAAATGGTGGATCGGTGGGAGATGAAAATTCCTTTACCAAAAAATTTGGTAGAAAAATAGGATTTGAGTATTGGTGATATGGGGGTTCACCACGGTGGGAGGCTAAAACCAAATCTCTATAATTTTAGGTGTAATGGTGATATAGAAATTTCGGGTGGAAGGCTAAAAACACCTAAATTAGATGAAAAAATAGCGTTATGGTGCCCGGTCGGAGATACCCTAAATACTTGTCAAAAACTAACAAAAGTACAAAACCCAACCAGAAAAAGTATACACGGGTATGCACGTGAACAGCACGCTGATAAAAGTGCTTCTTTCCAGAAAAGAATCGTATCAATGCATAAAAGTCAACAATGAAAATGCCAACAGAACAGAGCCTCTTTGCCTATTTCACTCTGTACCCTGAAATATAGTTTTTTGACACTTAGCATCCATGAAAAAAGTTAGTAGCACTTCACACTCAAAATATAATAAAGGGTAAATTACAAACACCCCCCTGAGGTATGGTCGAATTACAAAAACACCCCTCTTGTTTGGATAATTACAACCACCCCCTCAACTCCTCAAATTTAGTGGAATCTTCGAGATTATATGGAATATTATCACTTTTGTACCCGTTTTATCCCATTCAAACTCTACATTATGAAGCAAGATGATCATAATATGTGATTTTTAGCTTGTATATATCAGTTTGTGGTGCATCAAAAACTGTATTTTTTACACAAAACGAGTACAAACTAGAGCACATTTCACGGAATCTAGATGACTATGTTGAATTTGGCACCATAAAAGTGGATGTCTAAGAAAAAATCATAGTTGAGGGGGTAGATGTAATTATCCAAACAAAAGGGGGTTTTTTGTAATTTGACCATACCTCAGGGGAGTGTTTGTAATTTACCCATATAATAAATTATGTATATTGCATCCCGATTTTTTTTTTTTAATTAGTGAAGGTAATTTAATATTTTTGGTAGTATTTTTTTAGGATGTCGAACGATTCAAAAAAATTATATTCATCAATCCCTACCAACCTACAAAGTGAAAAAATAAAATACATATTTCATCAACATATTTAAAAATTATCTTCCAACGATTTACACAAAATAGTTTCACAAATTACAAAAGAACCATCAAAAGAATAATTTAGTGAAAAAATATTATTTTACTTTTTATTTGTAAGAAAATATAGTTTTTTTAGTAATTCATGTGATTTTTATTTTTTCGAACTTTGTATCCTTGAAATTAGGTTGGTGGTATTAAAAACTAACAATTTAGTTTGTTATTTTGCACCCGAAAAATACAAAAACCAACAAATTATGAAATTGTCTTCATTAAGTTTTAAGTATTTTAGGGTAACTTTTGAATGATTCATTGTGTTTGAGTGTAAAAAGTAATATTAATTTTTTTCAAGAGTGCAAATGCCAAAATGCTAAATTTCAAGGGTGCAAAGTGAGATTAAGCCAATGTGCATTTACAGTACTAGTTAAGGGTCGACCAGCAGACCAAAATATTGGCTAATACTGGATTCCAGATTTTTCGTCAAGTATTTGTTTTGAGTTTCTTTTTTCTTGTTAACTAAATGAAAGTTATGAAACGATCATATAAGTTTGTTCGATAAGCAATAAAATTCTGCTCGATTAATTAGAAAGAAAAGTCGATAAAATATTTACGATAAATCAAGTCACGACTCCGCTTCGTGTTTGGCTCGATTAATAATTATTTTGAACTCATTTGGAGTACTTATTAAACAAAACCTCAAATACAAAATTAGTAAAAAGTAAATAATTCAAACAATTTTAATAACAATGCATAAGGTTAATTACACGTAATTAAACCTGAGACAACGTTAACTAAACCCCGCTAAATACGGATTAGCCCAGTCAAAATACTTTAATAGTTTGTTCCTCTTTTCCCTCCACCGACACAACACTCATTGGCCAAAAAAAAGCATATGCTTTTTCTTTTAAGCGGAAATATGCAATACACCCCTCAAATGGAAAATATTATAAACTAAACCCAATTGACTTTAAAGACTTTTTCCTACACCCATTTTTTGATAAGAATTTGTGAGACCCTCCTCACTCAATATGAGAAGACAAAATTGCCCTTTCTCTCTATTTTACATTTCATATCTCTCGCTTCTCTCATCTCCTACATCTCGATCTCCCTCTCTTCTCTCGCATTAAAAATCTCTCCACCGCCGCCAATCAATTTCTCTTCCATCGATCAATCCAAGCGTCGCTCGTTGTCATATATATCCAACGACATAAACATTTATTCATTTGGGTCTAACATTGGAAGTTCGTCGATTTATTGAAGATTCAAATCTCGTGGGAAATTTCAGATTTGTTGCTTCTGGGTTTCAAACTGTGTTGAGTTGCTGGTCTGGAACTAATCTTCACCATGATTGAATTTTATTATTATAAGTTTTGGAGAATTAATAGGTGACGAACTTTTGTGAAATGGGCGAGGAACCTTCGAAATCGTTGAATCGAAGTAGAAATCGAAATATTTTTTTGTCTATTGTAGTTGATAAAAATAACCAGAGTAGTCATATATAACCGTGTTAGCGTTATGTGTTGTAATTGAAACTCGATTATTAGAATCATGCTATCAATGAAACTCAGTTACTCATAGCGTGATATAGTCACGTTCTATATTATTCACTACAAGTTGACTATGATAGCAAGATTAAAACTGTGAACTTTGAGGTTTTCATTATTTTGTATTATTGTTAGTTTTGATTATACAACAAATCATTTGCAAATTCGTTGTTTAGATTTTTTTTATGGTGTACAAATGTGCAGATGTAGTTTCGTTGATTGTATAGTTTGGTTAAAACAAAAAACCAGAGTAGTCACGTATAGTAGTCTTGTGGCTGCAAGCGGAACATAGGTGCTTTAGGTGTGTGGGTTGACCTCTCGTTTCGTGTAGTGTCGTATTTGTATACAGTCATATTTTCATTCATATTTTCACACAGACATGTACAGATTATTACACAATTGGTTTTTTAAGGATTTTGTTGGCTTATTTAGTGGAGTTGGACTGTAAAATTTAACATGAAACCGGATACATACATTTATATGTAGTCACATTCAAAGGTGTACACTTATCCTGATAAATATTTGTAGTCGTATATTACATATTTTTTAGTTATATGTAGTCAAGTTGTTTGTTTAAATTAGTTTTATTTTACGACGAACATATAGAAGAAAATTAGTCGATAATCGAAGGAAAAATGTAGGGATAAACAATTTTTATTACATTGTGAAATAAGCAGAATTGAAATAGAAAAAAGAAAAACTCCAGCAACCTTCTGGATTTGGAATATAATACACAAGTACGAAAAAAAAACAATTCATCATATTGAGTCCCATTATTCATATGTGACTCCCATCGTACAATTTTTCGTCCTCCACACAATTTTTCTCACCCTCGAACAGTTGCTCGTTGGGATCATCGGCATTCACTTGTTGTTTCTCTAACGCCAACTTCTTTATAGCATCTGTCAAACGAATGTTACTGTTAGAATCACAAAGTGCCTTGAATAGGATACCAAATACTACAGTAGCAGGAATATGACTACACATAACTCATATATGACTATTACAGAAATACGATATATGTAATTTATTATATAATTTCACATATAGGTTTATAAACGGCTAGGTTTCACATGACCATACTCTAACTAAGCATGCCAACAATATGATTACACACCGAATGCAAATGTCAGTAATATGAATACACATAACTTCGAAGACATTGATAACCTGTTTGCTTAGTTTATATTCTTCACTTACGATCAAATTAGCTCATTTGACTACATGTGAAAAAAAAATACTAATTATACCCAACACCAAAGAAAAATTCTTATCAGCACCAAATATGACTATACATTACTATAGTGTAACTATACATGACTACTACAAAAAAAAACCAACATATGACCTGTAATTGGAAATTTTCATAAATATAAATACATATGCATTCAACTCACACATTAACACAATTAAAAAATAGGACTCCACACAACTACACACACAAAACATAATATCAAGAGACAAAATGACTGAACACAATGACTGAACATGACTGTATATGACTACATCTGCATTCACACAATGACTAAACATGACTTCACAAGACTACACCCACATAAACATATTAGCAAGAGACATATCTCCAACAGGACTGTATATGCCTACATCTGATTCTACCCACACATTAACACAATAACATAACATGACTCCAGAAGACTACACCCACATAACATACATGCAGCATAAATGAACACACTTCAGATCTCTACCATTGTGGCTATATCAGTTATTTTCTACCCATTCCTTTTGATTCTTTTGACATAAGCATGACTACATTGAAGCAAAATCGTATCCAAATACTAAGTTTATGTTACAAATCCTTACCAGCGTCGAGCTTCATAATGTCGCGAGAGATTGGGGCCTCGTTTGCAGTTCAAGAGTGATTTTCTCTTCACTAGGTTTATGTTACAAATCCTTACCAGCGTCGAGCTCCATAATGCCGCGAGAGATTAGGGCCTCGTTTGCGGTTCAAGAGTGATTTGCTCTTCACTTGGTTTTAGATTTCAATAACGTAATAACAAGTGCATATGACCAATGAGACTGCATATTTCTACACATATGGGCTTCATAATAAAACCAAGGCATACTGCCAGGACTCAATATGACTATAAGACATGGTCTTCTGGACTCAATATGCCTCAACATGACTCAATATGACTAAAAGACAAGGCATACTGTCAGGATCTGAATAAGACTCAATATGACTATAAGACATGCTCTTCTGGACTCAATATGACTAGAAGATCTGACTCCTATTTGACTATCGGAGAGTCATACTGGTAACAAATATTATCGCACCAGATTTACACAAAAATTTCAAACATGCACGCATACCAAACATGACTGAATAAGAAATGAAAGTTTGTTTACATTGGCTACGAAACTTATTTGGATCTCTGCTCCTGAAATAATTTTTTCTATTTTTACCAGTGTGAAAAAAAAACCGCACCCATTTTTTTCTATTTTTGCTACTTACCAGCGTCGAGCTTCATGATGTCTTGAGGCTTGGGTCCTCGTTTGCGCTTTGAAATTGCCTTCCTATGCATATTTGGGGTTTAGATTCTGAAGTGACTACTAATGACGGAGTTCAACTGTATATGACTATCAATGGGGGATGCGGATGGAGGGTTGCTGAGCAAAATAGGGTTCCATTTTAGTATGTGACTGGAGTTTTGAAGCGACTTTTTGTGGTCGTGGAGGATTCAATTTTGTGCGGCGGTTCAGCGATGGTGATTCTCATTGTTTTTTTTTCGTTTTGGTAGCAGTTTTCTGGAAAAAATAATATAAAGCAGGTTAAACGGGATTAGGCGCCTTGTTATTAGGGATTGTAATTAAAAATAGGTTAATTATTAAGGAGCGTGTTAATTGGTGGAAGGGTATAATTGGGATTATATTTTCTAGGGGTTTATCACAAAGAAAGAATTAATGGGTGGACATATCACTAGTTTTTATCTATATGAGGGGGTTATTGCTAATGACCCCTTCTTTTAATATTATCTTCTATTTTTCGAACTTTTTTTCCAAATTATTTATTCGCTTAAAAATAAAAATCCCATTTCAAACTTAAAACTGAGGAATTAATGGCTTGCATTGTTATTTAACCTATTTTAATTAAAAATAGGGTAAATTACAACCACCCATGAGATAATGTCAAATTACGAAAAAATCCCTCATATTTGAGTAATTGAAAATACTCATCTCAAGTATGAATTTTCTTACACGTCGACCTTTATGGAGTCAGATTCAACATAATCTTCTAGGTTTCTTGTAATGTTCTCTAGTTTTTACTCGTTTTGTACAAAAAATGCAGTTTCTGATGCACCACAATCTGATATATACAAGCCAAAAAACACATGTTATGATCATCTTCCTTTAAAATGTGGAGCTCGAATGAGATAAAACGTGTACAAAATTGATAAATATTTCATATAATTTACAAGATTCCACTAAATTCGACACAGTGCCATTAGCTCAGGGGTGGCCGATAATTTACCGTTAAAAATATACTAATATTTATATAAAGTATGTTAATTTAATTATAAATAATTAAATTGAAAAAAATTACTAAAAAAAGAACCAAGAGACCAGGCAAATTCAGTTAATTCGCACACCCCCTCCATTAACCCACAACCCCCCCTTTTCTCCTCCACCACTCATCTCAACCACCGTCACCAATGCCACCACCGCCGCTAACACCCCTCTTCCTCCTCCTCGTCCTCATCACCACCACCGCCGTCTCCGCCGCCGCCGCAACAACCCAAGATTCCGATCTGGAATCGGACTGCACAAACAAATGGATCCACATCCGGCACCTCCCACCGGAATTCAACCTCGACCTCCTAAAAAACTGCTCGGAATATCCGGTGTTCGACAACTTCTGCCCCTACATACCAAACCACGGCCTCGGCCACAAAACCCACAACTCCTCCCACAGCTGGTACCGAACCGACCCGTTTATGCTCGAACTCATCTTCCACCGCCGCATCCTCGAATACCCGTGCCTCACACCCGACCCGGTTCTCGCCGACGCCGTCTTCCTCCCCTACTACGCCGGAATCGACAGCCTCAAATACCTCTTCGGCCCCGAAGTCAACTCCAGCTTCCTCCACGGCCTTGACCTGTACCAATACCTCACGAATTCCGAAAATACCCCTTCCATTTGGGATAGGCACCACGGCCACGACCATTTCCTCGTCATGGCCCGGCCCGCCTGGGATTTCAGCCAGCCCGTTTCCAACGACCCGCCGGTTTTCGGCACCTCGTTTCTCGAGCTGCCCGAGTTTTTCAACGTCACCGCGTTGACTTTTGAGGCGAGGGCGTACCCTTGGCAGGAGCAGGCGGTTCCTTATCCGACGTCGTTTCACCCGCCGAATCTGGCGTTTCTTGATTCGTGGATGAACCGGGTTCGGAGATCCCGCCGCAGCACGCTGATGGTGTTCGCCGGAGGCGGCGGAATCTCGGCGAACCCGAATGTGAGGAGAAGCATCCGGCTCGAGTGCGAGAATATTACCAACAGTGTGAACGCAAACGAAACCGGATATTCGAATCTTTGCGAGTTTGTGGACTGCTCGAATGGGGTTTGCGAGCACGACCCGATCCGGTTCATGAAGCCGATGCTGCAGTCGAGCTTCTGCCTGCAGCCGCCGGGTGACACGCCGACGCGGCGGTCGACGTTCGACGGGATGCTGGCGGGGTGCGTGCCGGTGTTCTTCGAGGAGCTCTCGGCGAGAAGGCAGTACACGTGGCACCTGCCGGAGGAGGAGTACGGCGAATTCTCGGTGTTTATTGCGAAGGAGGATGTGGTGGGGAAAGGGGTGAAGATTCTGGATGTGCTGATGAATATACCGAGGGCCGAGATTCGGAGGAAGAGAGAGAAAGTGATGGAGATGCTGCCGAGGATTATGTACCGAAAACACGGGAGTTCGTTGGGTTTGAGGAGCAAGAAAGATGCTTTCGATATCGCCATTGAAGGCACTCTGCAGAGGATTAAATCAAGAACTCAACAATTTGCAGCTCTCAGAAAATGAAAAAAAAAACTTTTTTGTTGTAATTACTTTTAAGTTATGATTATGTGTTCTTCGGGTACTAATTAACACGTAAGTTATGTGTTCTTCGGAACGAATTAGCACTAGATTATAGGCGGCGGCCGTATTCGTGTTTCTACAAGAAAATTTTGAATTTCTACTTCGGCCAAGATCTTCGTTACTTCCCCGAATATGTTGAATAAGAGGCAACCGAAAAACTCGGCAACTCGGAACTTTAATTAAGCGGATGGGAGCACGAGCGTTGGTAAAGATCGGTTTATTGACGGAGGAGTTCCCTTTTTTCCTCCCCCTTCCTTAGAATTTTTTAATGCTTTCGGTTCCGCGGACTTAGAATACTTCTCTGCTGGTGAGTAGAGTGGTTCTTTTTTGGAAAATCTCACTTTGCAAAACTTAAATCTCCAAATGAGTTGATGTTACGATATCAAACCTCTCTACATGGTCAAATGCGTCGCCCGCGTAGTAAAAGCATCCGTATTTCACGAGTTTTGTTGCGTTCCATAGCCATTTGGAATATCGAATTGCTCTAAATAATACCGAGGTTTGAAAATAATACACCCAAAACTATTGTTAGTAATCTATGTAGCGCGGATACGGAGAAAAGGGAAACAGACACGAGAAACTCCATTTTCCAAAAAGTTGGGTACGGGAACGTGGGGAAATGCATTAATAATAAAAATATTGGGGTGCACTCATAATTTCTAAAAAATATTATAATGTTTAATATCATTCCATAAATTACATCCGGGACGTATACAATTTGAAGTTTTTATTTAAAATAAATTTTTGATTTATTTTGTGTGGAAACATGTTTTCAGTTTTTCATTATTATCAGAAACGTCCCTAAAAACTTTTAAATATTTATGGAAACGGCCCCACAACGTTTCCGAATTTGTCATGGAGTTTTGATTTTCGAAACATTTCCGAAACATGGAAATGCGTGTGGGTTGAATTTTTCGCGCATCGTAGTTAGTAATAAACGGAGGCCATCTTTTGTTAATTTGGACTTGTTCAAATTTTGAGTTTACTTGCGCTTGGACCATGATTTCTGAAATTTGGGCTAAAGCCCATGAGAATTTCATCAAGCTTATAGAATAGGAAATGACCTAAGGGTGGTAAACGAGCCGAGTCGCCTCGTGAGCTCGATGAGTTGTCTTGAAATAAACTCGAACTCAGATTCTAGTTTTTCAAGCTCGAGCTAGTTTTAAGTTGTTCTTGAGCTCACGAGCCGGCTCGTGAACCTTATTTATTATTATTATTTTCATTTTTTTATATATTATTTTTTATTTAAATAATGTCTAATAATATAAAATATTATAGAAATAAATAAAAATAAAATATAAATATTAAAAAATATATATATTATTACAATTTATTGATTATTTTGTTATTTTTTAAATAATTTTTAATAATAATAAAATAATAATAAAAAAAAATTATTATAAAAAACAACAACAAATGAGTTTGGGTTCGAGCTCGTTAAAATAAACACGAGTTCAAGCTTGAGCCTGCTAAAAGAGGCGAGCTCGAGCTCGGCTCGTTCACACTCCTAAAATGACCTCATGTTAAGTAAATTATGTAACAATATTTTGATGCAATGTTAGATTTAGGGTAAATTACGGCCATTTCATGAGATAAACGTTCAAATTACGAAAAACCTCTTGATGTATGGATAATTACAATTACCCATTATCTATAAATCTTCTTACACGTCCACCATTATGGTGTCAATTTTAGTAAAATCTTCTACATTATGTAGAATATTCTCAAGTTTGAAAAATATGCGTATCGTGGCTTGTAAATGTCGTATCGTGGTGCATCACAAGCTACATTTTTGCACAAACACAAGTACAAACTAGATAATATTTTACGGAATCTAGTAAATTCTGTTGAATTTGACACCATGTGGGTGCACATGTAAGAAGAATAGAGGATTCATATATAATTAATCGTAACTGTAATTACTCAAACATGAACGATTTTTTTTCGTAATTTTACTATACCGCAGGGATCGTCGTAATTTAAACATTAGTATATCATTTTGCAAATTAGTAATAAAAATTAGAAACTCATAAATTTTTAACATATTCACAAAGGAAAAATAAAATAATAATTAATGATTAAGAAACACAGAAATCTAGCAGGATCTAGCAGCCAAGTAGACCTTTCATCATTACAATGAAGCAAATGGAAATCTATGAACTGACAGCCAATATATATATATATATATATATATATTCCTCTGTATGTATCTGTATCTGCACATATCATCCCCTAGAACTTGCTAAAAGATTTGATTTTGATTTGTTTTTCTAGGCTTCATAAATTTCCCCATCAGCCATTAGTCAAAACACACACACACACACTGTTCTGCTCTCATTACATCCACCCCATCTTTCCCAACTGTCGTTTCATCTTTCAATCACATAAAACAAATTCTCTCTCTCTCTCTCTAGTATAATTTAATATATGGTTAATTACAAATTTAACCCTTATATTTTCATTATTGTCGCATATACCATGTGATAAAAAATGTGACAAAGTGACCCTCAAATTCTAGTTTATATAGTGTAAGTACCTTACCTTTTTATCCTTACCTACAGTTATACGATACAAATAGACATTTTTGACTTTATTATTTGACGAGTTTGTTTACTTTATTACGTAACACGCCAGTTGCATCAACGAGTGATTCTAGAAAAAAATATGTCATATAGTATTTTGGACGTACAAAATTGGATGGAATTTTTAGATTGTGAAAAATAAAATGAAGGAAGAAATATGAAAACAAAAAAATAGGAGTAAATTGAGTACTGCATGAGAGAAACAAAGAGACACACATTTTACATACAACCAGATGGATATTTTCGTCAGAAACTGTACAACATCTAGTACAATGGTCTGTTAACTTTAAATAAGGGACAAAATATGTTAACTAACTTAATGGCAAGGGCTACTTTGTCACAATTTATAGAACACGGGGTATATGCGACATTAGTAATAGTACAAGGTTCAATTTGTGTTTAATCTATAATAAATACTGTTGAGGTTTACTATGAACAGTAAACAGCAGTCACTCAGCCACCTACGCCGCCTCTTTCACACCATATATCCCTTCATCTCCTCTTTTCATGCTAACGTTTCTTCTGCCTTCTTATATATATATATGTATGTATATATATATATATACATACATACATACATACATACTTATATGTATGTATATATATAAAATGGGAGAAGAAATTAAATTTGAAGTTGCAGTCCATTACATATGAATTAAACCATCTTCTAAGACTTCAAGAAAACTATTGAAAATGGTGAGTTTTTTTATTATTTAGTGATTTTTACTATGTGGTTTTGATTTAATTAATTAATTAATCAATTATAATTAATTATAATAAAATCAGGAAAGTATAGAAGCAATTCCAGGGTGGATAAGAGTGCTTACGTGTGAAAGATTCTTCAATTCATGTTTGGTTCATGAGTGTGAAAAGAAAAACGAAGAGAATACTTTCTGCTTGGATTGTTGCATTACTCTTTGCCTCCATTGTTTGCCTTCTCACACTACTCATTCTCTCTTACAGGTAATTTAATTAATTAATTATTTGTCTCTAATTTTTATTTAATTAGGATATGATTAATTAATTAATTTGTTTGGTTTGCAAATTCAGATTAGGAGGTATGTGTACCAAGATGTTTTGAGGTTGAAAGATGCTCAAGAGTTGATGGATTGCTCTTCTATTCAAGTAATTAAATCTGTTTATTAATTATGTTTGTTTCCTATTTAATTAATTACTTTAAAATTTAACAAATATTGTTATTTTTAATTTCTTCAAAATTTGACTGATGTTATTTAATCTTTTTACTTCATAATTATGACTGTATGCGACCTAATTGGGGATGGGAATTGAAGGTGAGTTTTCGAGTTTCGTCGATTCCGACTCGAATATTGAACAATATTTTTCATTCTGAATTTCGGAATTCCGATATCCGATTTCTTGGATTTTTCTTCAGAAAGGAATTGGAATACATATTAAATTTCAATTTTTCGAACATATTTCCAAAAATTTCCTATTTTTTCCCCAAAAATTGCACTTACAAGATTAATTATTGTTACGCATTTTATATTATAGGTGATTAAAATTTTGAAAATTTTGAAACCTGCCGATTTCGATCTTTTTTTTTGTTACCGATTTCTGATATTTCCAAAAAAAATTTGAACTGAATTGGAGTTAGTTTTCACTTCTAAAAAATTGGAAATTTGTAGAAAATAATAATTTTCGAACTAATTCGTCCGATGAAACCCTTAGACCTAAATCCTAATGAACGTTTTACAAATATACACGATATGCAATATGCATTACCCGGTTGTTCGTTAAATACTTAAAAATGTATACATACTAATGTGGATGTATGTAAAATATAAATGATAAATATTCAATATATTGCGTAAAATATCATAATTTCATTGAGTGTAACATTTATTTACAATACGTTATAGCGAACGTGGACAAATTGTGAAAATTATATTTGGTTTGTTTAATTAACAATTTGTGCGTAATTACAGCCGTACATAACAAACGGAGCAAAGGTATTGTTCTTAAAGCAAAGGCCGTTACGGAGGCAAATGATGATCGGTTGCTCCGGCAAATCTTGTTTAGTATGTGAACGGAATCTCCAGGACCCGTACCTCTTTTGTTCGATCTTTTGCAAGGTCTCATATATATTTATATTTTTTCATTTTAAATTAACTTGGATCATAATTGAGTATTTAATTAGGTCACTAATTCGAACATTTAGTTTTTAAAGATAAATATATACAGTTGATATATATATATTGTGATGGCAGGTGAGCTATAGTATGAGCAATAACTCAATGAAACAAGTGTGGACACCAAATTCGATTAATCCCCGTACAACCTCGTCTGGTTCAAGTAGTTCGACTTCAACTATTCCTACCAATTGTAAAATTCTTTGTACTCAATCTTTCAAGAAGAAACGAAGAAGCTGCACTAGTATTGTGTCGTCGGCCATGAATAATAATCGGAGAAAGAATGTACCTCGAAGATCACCCTTGTCTTAGAATTAATGACGAAGTATTTCTGTATTTTTTGCTAGAAATATGATGAAATGCTGCTAACATGCAATTTTACATTTGCTCTATAGGTATTACATCATATTTCTAACATCTTACTAGTATATGTTTCTTCTAGGTTATGGTACATTGATTAATGTTTGGGAATTTCATACAAGAAGCACCAGTGGTCTAGTGGTAGAATAGTACCCTGCCACGGTACAGACCCGGGTTCGATTCCCGGCTGGTGCATATTAAGTTTTTAATTTTTTTGCTTAAGTGTTAGTTGAAAATTGAAATGTAATGTTGTTTTAATTTTGTTAATGCCTGCCACCTTGATTTTTAACAAATTTTCAATCAGGTTTTGACAAAATTCAAAACAAAACTGTAGTACTTTTAGAGTTAGTTTTCTAATTCAAATTGAATTAGTAGATTGGGTATCGAGTAAGTTTTCTAATTCAAATTGAAAATTAGTTAGATTAGCTGTCGTGTTAGTTTTCTAATTCAAATTGAATTAGTTACATTGGGTGTCGCAAGATAATTTTCTTTTTTTTTTGAATTTGGAAGATAAAATTAAAATTATTCATGAAATAATTATTACATTTTAAATTTTAAATAGCTGAAAATTCCAAAATTGCGGGCAGACAATGTTCATTGATTCATGCATATATTTCTCATTCGTCATTTAATATTTGTAAATCAAATTGGATTAGAAAGTTAACTCAAAGAACTACAAATTCCCCTTGTTTTGAGTTTTCACAAACTTCGACTCGAAAATGGTCAAAATCACGTTTGCAATTGAAATTATATCTCATCAAAACTGAAACACATTTATCAAATTCCAACATAATTAAATATATATATATTTTGAATATTTTTTCCCTTATTCCCAGATTGATATCAATACACATTACATTTCAACAATCTCAGGTTCAATTTCCAGTCGATAAATAGGAAATTGTGCAGATACATATGCACGTATGTAATAAGAAACCCAAGGGTTTTTTGATACGAAAAATAAAAATTACGCCTTAAATGCGATGTTTAGTTTGTCGAAACATTGATGGGCGAGTGAGATCAAATCTTGGTCTTCCCATTGGTCACGGTACGTTTCGGGTGTGCTCCTCTTTCTTCTGCCCGTCACAAAATACATTTCCTTTCTCCATTCTTCTGTTGGTGGAGAGCCGCTCTTTGCCGCCAACAAATCATTATACTCGAACTGCATACCGTAATCAATAATAGTTGATTACTCGAGATCAAACATTTACATTTTTACCTTTATATTTATTAAATTCAGAAATGAAGCTATTTTCTTAGACCACTCTCGAACAAATAAATCGAGAAATTACCTGTTGGTCCCCTATTTTATGAGTATATCGCTTAGGAATGCCGGATTCTTCGAGCGACGAGTAAAAAGCTTCGATATCGGCTTTCATTTCCTCCGTAGATTCAAGTGGAATTCGACCAGATAAAACTCCAGCTATCCACTTTGTTTGGAATTCGAACAACGGAAAAGGTACAACCTGGAATTAAAAATCAAATCTTTTCCTAATGTCAATTGTGTAAAATCTCAAATTACATAATAAAAAATAAAAAAATAATAATAATTGAGCAATGTGAAAAGATTATAAAAACCTTCCACGGCAAGCCAACAAACGAAAGCCACGGAGCCAATGTCGGAGGGAAAACGTGCTTATAAAGCGGACCAACTCGATTTTCTTCCACAGTCAAAATGTCGTTTGTTTCAAGAAAAGGAAAATGATATTTGTAACTGCAAAAAAAAATAAAAAAAAAAAATAAATTTTCGATATTTTTAATTTACTTTTCGACTATCTTAAGAAATATCCGGAAAAAAAAAGTCGCTCCTTTGTACCTACCCTGTGCAGTGAAGGATAATATCCGCGTATATTGTGTTTCCGTCTTGAAAACACACGGCACCATCTTTACGGACACTGTTAATCTGCGGATATATATATTATGTCAGCATTATGCTGAAATAAATTCATCGGAATTAAATATAAAATTTACCATGGATTGGAGCCAAATATTGTCGTGCCCCGACAATTTTCCGATATCTCCAATTGGGAAAGATCGAGATGCAATGTGGACTTGTTTGGCAACTTTAGCAATATCTCGGGAAATATCATCGGCACTTGCGGAACTTCCGATTAGCACCACAACCTGCAAAAATCACTTCAATGAATCCTCTAATTTAATAATAACCTAACACGCAGACTTGGAAAATATGAAAAACGGGTTCATCAAAATATGTAAGAAAGTAGTACCTATCATTCATACATACGGAACGACATCGAAGTTTCAATTTTCCGAGAATAGTTGGAAATTTACATACATTCGTATCAATCGAAACGTGATCCGAATCATTTATATTTGCAAAAAATAATCGAACCACTCATATTATACACTTAAGCTCGTAGCTATTCATTTGCTTTCGATGTTCAATAATCGGCAGGAAGTGTATGAAAAGTGATCATACTTATCAAGGCAAAAAAAATTGCACCTCACACATACTTGATCGAGAAACGGGTCGGGTACCCGATAGTTGTGGCTGTGAATCTGCTTCCCGGGCCACTCATCAATGCCTGAAATATTAGAAAAATAAAATTAAAATTGAATCTTTATAATTAACAAAACAAGAAAATATTTGCTGGTAAAAAAAAATAATTGAAATTCAGGATTGAATTGGGCATTTCTTACCGGGTATTTCTGCAATTCGGGGCTCCGTATAGTGCCCATTACAAACCACCACAGCATCAAAGGATTCATTTTCTTCTTCTTCTTCTTCTAATTCCCAATTTACCCTTTTCGATTTAACAACCCATTTTCGATGATCAATCAAACCCACATGAAAAACCTCTCGCCCAAACCTAACCAATTCACCCAGCTGAAATTCTTCGGCAAAATCTCTCAAATAATCCAACACTTCCCGGTGACCCGGAAACCTCCTCGGATCCCTCCCGGGTTTCTCGGTCGCCGTAAACGGGTAAGCCTGGAAGCCCATAACTTCCCGTGGTAGGTTGGTTCGGAGCGAAGCGTACAGACTCGTGTGGACTATTTTCCGGGTCGGGTCGAGCCCAATCGGGTCGTTTTCAGTTTCGGGCGTGTAAGCCCAGGTGCCCCCAATCTGGGTTTCCCTCTCGTAAACGACGACGCTGTGGCCTTCTCGACGGAGCTCCAGGGCGGCGGAGAGACCCGCCGCTCCGGCGCCGATGACCGCGACGGTTCTTGATATAGGAGTGGGCATTGCGGGTCGGGGAACCCCGATCGTCGGGTTCGGGTTTGTAATTATCATTTGAGGTTTTGTATTTGTGTGATTGAATTACTCCAATTATTTTATTAACTAGTATTTTTTTTTTTTTTTTTTTTTTTAATGTTTTCGGCATTTTCTGCATGTGGATATTATTGGAATTGGAAGGTGAGAATGGCTTTTTAATATCAAAATTATTACTTCAAATTTATTTTTAATAAATATTGTAAGAACATTTAATAAACAATGCTAAATATTTAAAAAAATTATAATTAAAAATTATTTCAAAGATGTTTAAGAGAATTCTTGAAATCATAAATTTGGTTTAAAAGAATGGTCGTTATACGAAAATGTTGAATTCGTTCTTGTTTTTTTGAGTGATTTTGAGAAAATGTCCTTAAAAGAAGATATACTTGAAAATAGAGGTAGAGAGAGAATTTTATAATGTGAGAAAGAGATAAATTTTTCAATTGTGTGCGTGATTTAATTCGGTACGGGATTTTACACTCACCACACCGAAGTGTTTGCTTTACTACAATTATGATCCTTTTTCTTTATTTTTGTGCTTTGTTTGGCTTGTCTAACAAGAAAAGTAACATTCTTTGTAATTCCATATTATATATCTATCTATCTATACACAAATAAACATATATGATTCTAGAAAAAAAAATATAAATAGTGAAAAATACAATAGTATACCATAATTTATTAAATTAATTATAAGATCATTCTCCCATTGCCGGACAATATAAAATTTGGGTTTAACTAGTAAAGTTCATCGGGTAAATTTACGGTAATATTCTGTACGGTTAATTTTTCCTGTATAATTAATAAAAAAAAATTTGCATAAAAAGCTTGATAAAGTAATTTAAACATAAGTTATGGGAATCTTTTCATTTATTATATTGCTTGATCTTGCTATCTAATGTAATTCCTACACTAATATCTTTAACCATGGTGTAAATTAAATATAATGGGATTTCAATTTAACTTGAAAGTTGAAACATTGCAATAGTACTTTTGAAAAAAAAAACTTGTGGTGTTTGCAAACGTTTTCTCAAAGTGAGTTTTTTAATGTTTTAATATAAACTGATTTCGAACCAAAAAAATCTCATAATTACTTTAGAAAAGCATTTACAAACACTACTTAAATACCTTACATTAGCTTATTTTTATGATATTTTTCGATGCAACTTGAATCAAGACAACTGAATTTTGTTTGATAAAGTTATGATTAAATTACACTAATTTATATTTACATTACTTAATTTTACTAAATCTACTGACAATGATCTAAACTGAATCTCAATGATCAAAATGCTTCACATTACTTAATTTATCCAATCTTTTATTTATTTACTTAATTTTTTTTATCCGATCTTATTATCTACGTAGTAAGATTAATACAATGTATTTTTTGACGATTACCCGAATTGCGTCTCAATTCAAAACATACAAGTTCTGGATATTTTCATGGTTTTCCAATACAATTTGAATAAATGCAATCATATTTTGTCCAAAAAGTTATAATTATTTTAATTGATTTTACGTCCCATACGATAATATTAATCAAATGAATCTCTTAGTATGACCAAAATCAAATATAATAAATTATAAAACATGAAAGTTGTAATCTTTTTATAGTCTATTTCCAATGCAACTTGAATCATTACATTTAAATTTAATTTTTTTGATTGGAATAAAAAAATGTATATGATATCCTAATTTCAGGCTAGATTTTAATCTTCCGAAAACATCCAATTTCGAAATAAACTTTCAGGAGAAAATTAGTTTTTCACTTCGTAAAAGGATAATTTTTTTTTTCGAAAGTCATAATTATGATAAAATCCGTCGGATTTCAAGCCCAACATAATATTGTTTTTTGATCAACATCCCTAGTCACAATATATATATATATATAATTTTAATTTTGAATTTTTTGATAAAATATATAGCTAGGTAAAAATTGGAAACATGAAATAGCAGTCTTGTAATTAATTAAAACATTGAATTGGCACTTTTGTCCTTTGGTACTAGTAACTGTCATCTGACTGGTCACTCCAGAAATCTAAATAAAGCGCAATTTTTGGCAGACACAAAAAGAAAAAGCAAATACAGAAATAATAATAATAAATAAATAAATTTTTTTTTTTTTTTTAATAAAAATCATAGTTTTAGAGAGAGAAACACAGAAGCAGAGAAAAAGGTTAGGTTAGAGAGAGAGAGAGAGAGAAACACATGAAATGTGCCTCAACAAACGCACACTAGCTTTGCGGTAAATCACACGCAAACACACACACACACACACACACACACACACACACACTATACCCTTCCCCCTACCACCGCTGTCCCCAGTCTTTCTGATTCGATTCCTTTCATCCTCTTTTCCTTTCTCTCTCTAAATCCTCTCTCTCTCTCTCTACATGCGCGGCGTGTGTGTTTGTGTGTGTGTGTGTGTGTCGAGCATTTATTACTGTGATGCAGGATCTCTAAATATGGTGTGCGTTTGGTGTAATCCGCATTCCCAAATGCCGCAACTCTCTCCCTCGCATTCTTAATCCCTACTCTCTCTCTCTCTCTCTGGTTAGTTCTCTCTTCTCTCTCTCTATGAATGTTTGCAAGTATTTGTGTATATGATATGTATGTTCATTCCAGATTCGCGTCAAATTGTTTAATGAACAAATATACAACATTTATTTATTTATTTATTTTCGTGTGTGTTCTGGGGAAATCTGCATACGGTTTATTGTTGCTGTAGACATTTGCGTTGATCTTTGAAAAAAAATGCAGAGGAAGCAGAATCGAAGAAAATTATGAGGGGAAATAGACATTTTGGATTAAGCGATTTATGTTCCAACCAAACACGGCCTTACTGCCAGTTGCATGTTCTCTTTGTTTATTTATTTATTTATTGACTTCATTTATTTATTGCTAGTAGTGTTGTAAAGAGAAGGTTGCTTTTGTTTATTAGTAAACAAATCAGGCATGAGGTATCTGAATGTTTCACTTGTTTTTGTGCATCATTTTCTTTTTTAAATTTAAATAATTTTTTTTTTTTGTTTCTATATGTTATAACTTAAGAACTGTTTGGCCAGCTGAGATATCCCATTTTAACTTAGAACTGTTTGGAATTTATGATACTATTTGGAATGAAATAAAAGAATCACAAACAAGGAAAAAAACAGAATTTTCTAAATTGATCTAGTATTGGTGGAAAGAATAGTGAATCATCGATGGGAATCGGATTATTTTTAATAAAGGGATAATTTGTTTTATTCCCAGTATCTGAACTTAGCTGCGATTTTTTGATTATACCGTCGGATTTTCATACTGCGTTTTGAATATTCTTCTTAAAAGAATGATACAGTTTTTGTATCGTGGAATAGGATAATATCGTATGTCATTGTTAATCCTGCTTTATAATTGTTGGTTTGTGTATGAAAAGCTGTGTAGAAAGTAGATCACGTGAGTAAAGATCCTCATTTAGATTTTTTCAATTCGGAATATTGAAAATGCAGATATAAACGAAGAGCAAAAAAAGGATGTTGATTGGCAGTGAATGTGGTCTGAATTTGTTGCTAGGATTCGACGATTCTTTGCAAAAAGTTGTAACACAGACGATACTCACTCAGGAAGAGATTTTCAAGAACCAGGTGTGTTTGTTAATGTCTTATTTACCAATATATTTTGATCGATATATTGATGTTAATGTTATCTTATATAAGTCGTACCGTGTTTTTCTACTCTAATTTAGTTAGTTAATCTGCTGATAATTATTATTATAATTCAATTAGGTTCTTGAACTCCATCGGTTGTATGAAATTCAAACGGTACTAATGAACGAACTGGACTTGAACGTGAGGGATGGAGAAAGGTCAAATTTGTGTTTCGGTCCTTCTTCAAAGAACTCGAAATACGAACCTTTAGCAACAGTGATGAAGTCGAGTGAAGTTCATACGGTAAAAACATACAACCTTGCCTTAATGTACAATTGGTATAATATTATCTGTTGGAATTTCATTCTTTATTCATATGTTTAATATATTCTACTGCTCGAAATTTTTTTATTCAATTTTTTTTGCCGGTGCATTATAATTTACATCGAGTCACATTTTATCAGATTTGCTCGTCGAGACCTATGCGAATGTCTCTGGATCTCGAACTTCCTGCCAGTCACTACATTAGTGACAATGAAGTTTCTGCCATAACGAAGCATGATTATGCTTTAGAGCCAAACTTCTGTGGTAAAACCTCAATCGACCACCTGCTTAAAAACGGTTAATCTTTTCTTGTTTTTTTTATATTCCTAATTTACGGTTAAATAAATCTTCTGCAGGGGTAAATATGTCATACAAAAATATGTCAGCCAGAAGAAAGCTGTTTCGTTCCCACAAAGAAGGAGAACTGCTGGACCTTAACAAGGCTCTTCCCGATGAATCTTCTTCAGGTGTTTCTAACAACGAGGACACCTTTTTCACCGTTCTTGATTGGAGAAAACCGAACAACTCCACTTTGATGACCTCAGCAAGCAAAGATAGTGATGAAATTATTTGTCAAAGTACGTTTCGTGGGCCCCAGTTAGACGCTAAAGGCCACCACGAACCTTTGTCTGAAATGAATGTTGAGGGCACAGACAGCAACAGATCTCCCGTTTCTTGCAAGTCTGATTCGATCGCCGAAACAAAATCTCAGCAGTCCGATCGAAAAAAGGAAAAAATAGATGGAGTTGATCGAACCGTCAGAGCTGGAGCTGTCTCTCTCGTATACTTCTCACTGGAATGTTCATCCAAGAAGAATCAAGATCACTCTATCGAGCCCAAAAAACGAAAGGAATGTTGTAATAGTAATAATAACAATGAGAAAGACGGTTATGAAAGTTCGTCCGAATCGTACGAATCGATAGTGCTGAGGGAACCGGAGTGCGGTGCGGGTGATTACGGCATGACATCAGCGCTGACTGAAGCAACAATATTATCGGATAAAAAAGAACACGGGATGAAACTGAGAAGAGGGAGAAGAATGAAGGACTTTCGGAAGGAGATTCTTCCTAACATGGCATCTCTTTCGAGAGAGGAGATACGTGAAGATATTAAAATAATGCAATTAGCTGTTCGATCGAGAGAATACAAAAAATACAAATCCAAGTCCGTTAAGGGTAGTCGCTGCGTTTCATCGGTAGTGAAAAGTAAGAGGTCAAGAGTTAGTTCTGTAGGACCAAAATACAATTCTTGAGATTCATTTTTTTTAAATAATTTTGAGAGTTTTTTAACAATAATTTGAACATTTTAGAATGTAATAATTTTTCAATTGTTGTCTTACACTATATAGGTG